TAGAATATCGATACAGTATCGGGAAATGAAATATCGCAATATTTCAGTGTATCGATATTTTCTTACACCCCTAATTTTGGCTGGATTGCTATTTATTTTAAAACCTTTTCTTCTATTACCACACATTCAGTGCAGCTTCATGGTCTTTCACATGATCTAGTGTAATTTAAACCCCATTTTGCATACAAGTTCCATCTAAGATACTTTGTTGTGTACTAATATCAGTCCGATATTTGTTATGTTATGAAAGGATGACAGTGTTTTTCAACCCTGATCCTCAAGGCGCACTGCCCTGCATGTTTTAGATGTTTCTGTAACACAGCTGATTTCAATTGACAACTGATTAGCTAACTGTTTTTGTTGAACTGCAATCATCTGAATCAGGTGTGTTAAAGCAGGGAAACTTCTAAAACATGCAGAGCAGTGTGCCTTGAGGATCAGGGTTGAAAAACACAGGGATAGAGACTAATGATGGACAAAAAAAAAAAGAGACAACCATAATGTATTACCTATTTAAATTTTAGGGTGGTGTTCAGCCAAAGTCTTGTGCCTCACTACCTCTTACTGAGTCTGTTTCCTTTCTGACGGATGTGGCACATAGAGCATGAGCATTGTCACACGGGCAGTGTATTCTTGTGATGTGATGTACTCCTTTTATATATTTAATATTTTCAGCCTTGAATTCTCAGCTTGCAAACAGGTTTTTTTTATTATCATATCGCAGCGTCTTAACATTGTGAAGCACAAAATCTAAATCTACACTTGCTGCATCAAATTTAAAAGCTGTCAATGCTGGTAGTATTGTGTTCAGTATCCGTATGGTTGATAAGGTGAGATTGGGGGTTACCGTCTGTGTATTTATGTTAGAACAGTGGCGCACACATGGCAAGTGCCTCAAATTTATAGTGGCACACTCTGCTGCACTAAAGGATGGTAAAAGAGAAACAGCCTTTCAATGACTCATTTTTACTAATGACTACTCTTTGTTTATAAGATTTTGTTTTTTATTAGTGTGTTATTCTCATTTAAGTCCTTGTTTATCCTCATCATTTGCCATCTTCTTTCCTTCAGGCAATTTCCAGGCAATGTGTTAGATTATAGATTGATCATCTTTACACCTTCTCTGCATGCACAATCAAAAACCTACTTCTGCGGCGTTGGATTTTCCTGGAAATTTTGACACAATTAGAATCATATTTCCCAACCCCTGAAAAGAAAGAAAGCGTGTGCCTGTGACTTGTATGATTAATCAGTAGACCTTACATTTTCAGGCTTTCGTGGTAAACATTTAAGATCTATTTGAATTGACTTTAATCAAAGAATTTGAACATAATGTTTTGTGGTGCGTCTGTTATTAACTTCTATTTTATCATACAAGTTATATGATATGGTTTATCAGTTAGTCAGAGATCTTAATTAGTCATACCTCGTAGAGAAAAAGACAACACCCGTTTATGATACACTTCTTTAATATTTTGTAAAATATTGAGTTTTGTATGTAATAATTTGTATTTACTGTATATCAAAGCATTTCCTTGACATATTTTTTCTTTAAAAGAAGATGTTGAAAATGCCTGTGCTTTAACAGTTTGACTAATTAATTTGACTAATTTAACCCAGATCATCTAATATATTTACTTGCTCCATGTAACAAAAATATGAAGCATATATTTATATTTGTGTCATGGGAAGTTGCTGTTTTCATCAGGAGAGACTCCTTTACTGTACCTACCAACCCATCACCCTGTCACACTGAAGATGGATTTAAATCAGAGGCGTTTCCTTTGGTTTTATATGAATGTAATGAGATGAAAGTGGGTTGGGTGGATGGTGACAGTCATAACTGTTTTGAATGTTTTGTTGTCTCTTTGATTAAAGTAGTGAACGTTATGATTAAAAAGCTCTCTGAACTATACTTCATCTTTTGAGTTTTGATAAATCACATACAGTATAATCAAAAAGCCAAATGCCTTCCCTCCCCCCTCCTGTTAGTGTGAACCAAGATAGAGATGTCAGAGGTAGAAAAATAGAAATTTTCTTAAGGATGAAACATTTATGTCGCTCCTGCCCCCCTCCTTTACTTTTCGTTGGAGCACGCACACTTGAACACAAGCAAACGCGGCGAGGCACGACTTATTTCAGAGCGCGGCAGATTTTAGTGCTTTGAGCAGATTTCTTTGTCAGATTTGTCTCCATCACATCACAGGCCTGCTCTGTGACTCATCAGCATACATTTGTAGCAACGAGATCCATTCCCACAGACGATTCACGTTGCTCGCTTGTTCCTCTTCTGCATTCACTCCCACGTTGCTTCTTCCTCCTTTTTTCCTGCTTTCATATTTTTTTTTTTTTACTTTTTATTTTGCATGTGTCGACCTTGTTCAGCCTCTGATTCATTTTGCCTTCTGAATATCCAAGTAAAATGGTGTGGGAAAAGATCTGCGTGTGTGGAAGTACTTGTTGAAAATTACACAAAAACAATATCAACTTGAAAAACTGCCATTCTCAAACACATATATATATATATATATATATATTAAATAGACCCAGGGAAATTTTATGGCCAAGTTTCAAATTGTCCTCTTCCATTCTTTTAAAGAAAACTCTGTAAAGACAGTGATGTCACATGATAGTTTTCTGGCCTTTATCTAGCTTTGTTTTTTTTTTTTTTTCTTTTCCTATGTCTATATGCTGTCCACCACTAATGTCTCATCTGATGTGGCTTTCAGTTTGTCAGTGACTGTGGCAGTTAGTGATTCAGACTAAACAAATGTGAACTTCTCCTGAGGTAATGATTGGCATGATGTGTCACCTTGTGCTGCCCCTTCCTGCAAATTCTTTAGCTCCAGATGCACTGTCATTATCACTGCTGTTGTTTCTGGATAGATGTGCTTTAAAACAAGAATTCAATAAGCACTAGCACATTATGTGTTGGGACATAAACGTGTGGACTTGTAAATGAATGTGATGTTTTGTGAGTCATCTGCTTTAACTGCAACACAAAGATACTGATTATAAAATACACCTACAAAGTTCTCCTGATATCTTTTTTTCAGTGGTTGGCGCCGTGGGGCTTATTAGATTTAAATATGGGTGTTGTGTGACTGAAAAAGCATGACTTTGCATTTTGATTAGGCTCATCTATGCAAGGTGCATCCAACTCCTCTCGGCTTCTCATTTCATGTGGGCTACCTTTTTATGTTTCCTTCTCTTCCTCCAGTTGATTA